AAGCAGTGGTATCAACGCAGAGTACTAACTTAAGGAGATAGAAGCTCAAAACCAAAATCACTCAAAATTTGAATTTTTCGTGTGGGGTCATAAAAAATTGGAAATCTGCAACAAAAATCGGAGTAGTCGGTATTGTAGGTTCTGTTACCTGCTCCTTCTAACTATGCAAAGTTTGCGCTGATTGAGCGTCTCTATCAAAACTTATGATTTCCCTGAAAAACGCCAAAATAAATCAAATTCGCCCTTTTGTATTGCTTGCTCGAAATTCATAACTTTTGATAGAGGCGCTCAATCAGCGCAAACTTTGCACCGTTAGAAAGAGCTGGTAAAAGAACCTACAATACTGACTGCTCCGATTTTTGTTGCAAGTCTCCGATTTTTTATGACCCTACACGAAAAATTCAAATTTTGAATAATTTTGGTTCTGAGCTTCTATCTCCTTAATTTGTAAACATTAACGAACACTTCAGGTACAGTTGCAAAGAGCATGAGTTTCTCTCTTCAGCAAAATTTAGATCTTGCAGATTCGTTGAGAGTACATGTTATGAATTTTTGAATTTGGGCGGAAAGAACTTTTGCACCAACCTTATATATCAGTGGCGTACCGAGAGGGGGGGAGGGTCCCCTCCCCCCGAGAATGAGTCGCGGAATTTTTGAAAGTTACTTATATGGGTTATAAAAATGTGCAGGTGACCACGTGTGAATAATTAAAACTATTCTTAAGCAATTTTAAAAGTCCAAGTTAGCCTTTAAAAAAATCGGGGGCGTGGCGTCAGCCATGCCCCTTTTTTCTAAAATTTTGGGATTATGCCCCAGGAAGCAAAGGAAGCAGCAAAATTTTGAGAAGCGTACCAAAAATTTTTTCTGCATGTGTGGCTAACGCCACGCACCTTCATTAGGAAAAATTTTTTGTCCCCCCCCCCCAATGAAAATCCTGGGTATGCCACTGCTATATATATTTCTTTAATGGATACGGCCACTAATGTAAGCCTTGTGGATCGCAAATGCAGAACAAGTTTTTCCTTTTCGCTGCTTCCTTTCTGCTTCCTTTTTTCGAGCACATCATGCTGGCCTGCTTACATGCATTCTATTGACCTCGTCAACGATGGTGAAGTTAAAGAAGTCGTTGCTCATTTTTTGGAAAGCACCGATAACGGTCAATTCATCCTTGATGTCTGACTACATATCGTTGTATTGAAAGAGACTATAGCATGGTGAGTATTCAAGTTTTGCATAAGAAATTGAACCCTTCAAACATACTGATTATGCAAAAGTACACTTTTTTTTGACAGCAGAACAGCCCTATTCTAATTGCACAAGTGAGAAGTAAGCGATGTCTTGTAACTCACACATAGACTCTTAACTATGAAAATCTAACTGTAAGCATCTTTGCAAAGTATGTAATGGAAATTTTTGACTGTTATGTAGACTCTGCACTTACAACTTATTCGTGCCAGAATATAATAAAAGGGCCTCATTTTGCCGGATTCCACAATGGATTAGACAACAATGCACGCCAAGCTCTAGAAATTGAGAAGGCTGTGACTGAAGTACTAACGCTTGCAAATTTCCATCACCACATTGTTCGGCGGTCACAGGGCACAGCGAGGTATGAGTGCACGATCGGGAAAGTTTAACCATATGAGGCAGGGCGAGCCCGAACGACAGATCGGCGTCTGTTCCAGTTTAGGCCATGCGATCCAAACTTTATTAAATAGAGAATGGAGGCTCTCGCCTGTCCGGGCACTTGTTTATAATGGGAAAACAGTTCCCGAACAGCAAGATTGGCAATCACCGCCTCATAATATCATCACATACTCCAACGCATTATCCAGTCCCGATTCAGATGCTAAATTCAGGGATTCAAAGAAAGTTTTGAAAGCGAAGTTCAGCAGCGCTATTGCTCCGAACAAGTAATGGAACCTCATCATTTTTGGTAAGAAAGCTCTATTACAGAATGTCAAAGGTGTTCGTTTGTCTTTCACCCTGTCATTTGAATTGTCAATTAGCTTGACTACCATTATCTTGGCTGATCATACCAGATCTGCACAGGTCAAGTCAATCTGTATCATTGCCTGTTGGTAAAACCATTTGGTTTCTCTGAAGACGTGGAAAGATCCTTTTGCAGAATTCCTTCTAAAAAAGTTGTTGTGAGCGAGCTTAACAGGTATCGGGATGCCACTAGAAGAGGAATATAGGATCTGGAATCTTGGTTATGGGTTTACAAAAAAAATTGGCAACCCCCGAGGCACCTCAAAAACAAGTTTGCTCGAGATGTGAGGAGCTGAAGCAGGGTACTCAGAAACTAGGATTGGACTAACTGCAGCCCTAAAAAGCCTTTCCGGCTCGCCCGCGGCCTTAATTCAAGGGCGTAACCGGGGTGCGGCCGACCCGCGGCCCTTCGTTCATGTCATTATCATTGCATCGGCCAGCCGCGGGAGGACTTCATGGGCTTCACGGCTCAGCCGCGGCCCTTGATGATGGGGCGGAACATTGCAGCGGCTGAGTCGCGGACCAAAAGCTGTAAGAAACTCCGGCCGAACCGCGGCCTATATCGAAGAAGGCCGCGGCTCGGCTGCTGCTAGTGCTTGATCGTAAAGGATACTTGCGTGATGTATGACGCATGGTCGGGCTGCCTTGAACGTCGATAGCCTCAGATGTGTTTTCAAGCAGAAACATCTCTCAGGCAGAAACAAGATCTAGGTTGTCTTCCAAACAACCCTGGAAGCATCTCGGAGCTATCCAATCCTGAAATCGGACTTGATCTTCGAAGCTGCTGTATCGGTGTTCTCAACTTTTGTTTTTTACTGTCTATTTTCCTGTGTGCCAGACAGTTCCACCGTGTATCTGTGTCCGGCTTAGACCATCAAATCTTATATGACTTGTACAAAGGGGGCTCTATAAATGGGCAAGGCCCAATTAGACCTAGCTAGAATGAACTACGGAAGGCCCGACAACCAGCTGCGCTGAGCCGTGGCACCTCCCCGAGCCGAGGCTCATCGCCGGCTGAGCCGAGACCCACTCTCCGGCCGGGGCGTGGGAGCTGCGAAATCTTAGCCGGAAAAGAGCGATGACTCGTCCTCCCCCCGTGTCTGAGTACAAACACCAATTGCGATATACCAGCTGCAAAACATCCTTGTTGGAAAATATACAAAAGGGAATGTAAATCAAGACCAGGCTTTTGAACTTGGACATGAAAGCAATGGATAAATGGATAGTGCGGGGGATAGCCTCTGGCTTAGAGCTAATCCCCTTATTTGTTTGTAGCACTGCCAGCCCTAGGGGGATTGTCAAAGTCTTAGGTATTCTAAAGACGCATCTTCACGTGTACCGTCGTAGACCGTAGAGTTTTATAGTCGCCTGATGCTCACAAAAGCTCAACATCTGCTCACATGGTTGCTTCATTTAAGATGTTTGTGTAAAACGACGTCACTTTGAAGGATTCCATAACCTATGACCAAAATTAGCGTATCGTAACTTTTTTGAAAATATGTGGTTCTTGGCAAGATGTGCGACCTGATTTGTTTAAATCTATGTAATACTCGTAGAACCTTCACAGTGCTGAAAATGGGCTTGACTCTGGACATGTGTAAGGGGTCTGTAGAGTTCAAAAAAAGTTTTGTCCCTTTAAGGTCTTTATGAGCACACACGGAATAGAACAATTCACAATTCACTGTCGTTTTGTACTTCCAACTTCCATCGAAAAAGTATTTGCCAATGTTAAACCGCAAGTAAGATGAAGCCAGTACAGATATACTTCTTGTATGAACAAGATTAGCGCAAAAGTGGCCGAAACAACGACTCCATGGAGAATACGTCCAATCTCGAGCTCGAGTGAGTTAGAGAGCGGTGAATTTGCCCAAAAATATGACCCTGTCTTGTTTGCCGTGCGCTGAAAGAGTTGCGTAAAGGGGTGAGAACAACTTTACGTCAAGCTGATTTGCAGGGCTACGTAAGGGGTGTGAATATCCTTTCGTCCAAGTTCAAGCGGCGGCTAAGCAAAACCGTGCATACCTTGCCTTTGCCCGTAATCAACTGTACGGCGTCTGCACCGCAACAACTGGTGTCGTCTACCTAATTACATGTCTCTCTGTCGCGATATGTTGGTAAAACGAGCGAGCTTTTGCAATTTAGATCAGAAGACAGTTCCCAGGAAGTCAAAATCTGAACGCCTCTGATAACACACCGCCAAAAGTGCCATGACTATGCTACGTTTGATATTAAATTCACGAGATTGTCGTACGAACCCAAAAATGTAGCTTGCAAACTCTCGAAGCATTTTGGATAACCGCAAAAATTGGCGGGCCGTCGGTCCTCAAACATGCGCAGTATTTGCAGTGGCTACTCACTTCCTCTCATACGGTGGCCTTGGTTCAAATAACCGCTATGTCACGGAAGCGTTGCTTTGCCCTTTCATACCGCTTTTGATCTTCTCCGATTTTCTGAAATGACTGTTGTGGTCAGACGCGACGCTTGAGGAGGTATTGGGTTGTTTCAAAAGTTCTACCCGTTCTCAATACCTTTACTTGAACTGCCGATTTTAGAGGAAGAAACCACGTTTCCTAAACAAGTATCATTCAAAAGCTCTTTTCTTCTTGTTTTTCAGGCATATTTTCGTTTTCATAGATCTTTGTTCGCTCTGTGGTTGCGTACTTTGAAAGGACAGCGAAACAAATGTAAAAATTTTCGTCTTTGCTCTATCGCCGTGAAACCTACAGCCAAGAAAAAAAATTCTTTTGAAACATATATAATGTTTTCTGGAGACTCGTACTACGAAACGCTCATCGAGATATGATTTCAGAAAAATTTTGAACCTACAGATTTGAGCTCAAACATAACCTGTCTTGATGGTCCCTCCAAGTCGCATAAAAATCATAATCATATTGCAATCGCGGAACTTTTACTCTATATAGTAAGAATAGAGCTAGAACAACTGCTACTGGAAAAACGAAGAGATTTTCTGGTTTGTCAACGGCGAACAAAATCAAAAATTTCAAAAATTGCACTTTTTGCCGCCTCAGAAAAAGCAAAATAAGTGGGTCCTTTCGGATTTTTCAGCACAAAATATTTACAAAGAGTTTGATGGAATCCAAAGTTAGCGATACTAATCAGTCGACTATGGGCTACACTGTGAGCAGTGCTCGTGCAACTCAACTATATTCCAAATCAAGTTATGCTCTTGCAAAGTGAAAATTTCTACAAGGAGATGTTCCTCGATTTTCGCTTATAAAATCTTCTCCACTGTTACTGCAATAATCTTTAAGAGTGAGCAAAATAGCCAAAGATTTGCAGATTGTAACACAGTTTATAGCAATTGCAAAGATTATTTTTGAGAAGAGTTACGGTGAATCAAAGTCAAAGTTCGAAAACGGGTAGAACTTTTGAAACAACCCAATAGTTGCCAAATAATTTTTAATTCCCACTCTCGACGAAGGCGAAGACGCCAAAACGTCAGTCGTCAATAAAGATCACACTGTTTTGGTGCTACAGCGAGAAATCATCAAGAAAATGGATAGAATCAAAGCGTCAAACAATCGAATGTGCAATAATCTCTGTAAATCAACCTTCGCTAGTTTATTCAATCAACACACAATTGTGCCGCTGCCTCTAATCAAACGAATCATGAGTACCGTTTTGTAATATTGAAATCTCTTTTCAGCACATCCTGCACACTGCGATGTCGGATGGGCTTATTATGATGAGACAGATTCCTGTTATAAGGTAATTTGTGCCTTTGTCTATGAAAAATGTATCAAACGTTTGAAATCTAAAGGCTCCTTGTATGAAAAGCCTTCCAAAACACCGCGGTGCAAATCTCTTCACTCAGGCTTGTTAAAGAGAACCACCGAATTCGCTTTATTATGAGCGGCAGAAACTTTCAGCTTTAGAGGGGAGGGGACGCGAGAAGGGCTCTACCACCCGAGAATGGGTCATTTTTGAAAGTAACCTACGTGGGTTATTAAAAAATATTTGAGCTAATGTTTTTGCGTACTGAATTGCAAAAATTTTGTGTGACACTAAAAAAATCTCCAGAATGCGAGCTTAGTGCCATGCACTTTCCTTGAAAAAAATTTTTGCGCCTTCCCTCCGAATGAAAGTTTTCGGGCCGTTACTAACATGTATCAATGACGGTCATTCAGGGATGGCGATAGAAGTTTTTTTTTCGATTGCAAAGACGTAATATTAGCACTTTTATACCCCAACGTGACCTGACCTCATGCAAAAGCAAAGAGGGATTGGAAAAGGGGCGGCTTTGGTAGTGATCGCGCTGCACGTTTTTTCTGTGCAATGTGAAGTTTTAGCGGCGATACAAAACGCTTTCAACATTTTGCGTGGTAGGACGAGCTCAAACAACAAGGTCCTCACCCCAGTCTAAAGTAGGGCGTTCTCATGACGTGTTCTGCGATGTTGTCCCTGGGTGTAGAGGGCTTAGACTTATTTAGCCTATTTAGGTGTTCTTCGATACGAACACAACCAATACAGAAGTGCTACCAATCTTGGTAGTAGCTCGAAAGCTACACCTATATGAATTCATTTCCTTTCAATGCTTTAAAACCTACACGCCGAAATGACGTAGCGCTCCTCACGTTCTGAATTTCTATAGTAAAGAGTGCGGGTATTGCGGTGCAACTATTATAGTTTCTCGCGTTTCCCTTTCTTGTTTCGTCTTAATAGGGTTTCGTCTAAAATTGAAATGGAGCTCCTTGGACGGTCCTCATCTTAACGCCTTTCTATCTATGAAACTTCTTACGTTGAGGCAAACTTTCTTCTTCACTCTGGAAGTGAAGAAGAAAGTTTGCCTCAAAGTAAGAAGTTTTCTCTTCTCTTTCAACGCCAAAATTGACGCAATACCCCTCATTAAACACTTTTAGCTTCTTTGCAACGCTTGACCCTTGGGCATTGTAAAGGTTCCCTACCAAAAGTAGCGCTAATTCTTTCATCTCTTAGCGGAAGGGATTTTCTTTCACACTTTACAAAATTCAAAAATGATTCCTAGCTTTTTAGACACTAGAGAGTACTCTCAATACAAAAAACCGCATTAACTTCTACGACAGCAGTAGAGGGCTTTTGTCCAAATGTCGAATTCTTTTGAAATGCCTAAAGCCTCATACATTTTCTAGGACGCGAATGTGTGAAGTAAAGTCCGTCTAATGGGAGTACAATCATGAAAATAACTTAACGATTTTGAGACGCTATTTCTCGATGAACTTTACAGAATTTCTTTGGGTTGAATTTTGACGATGCCGAAAGATTATGTAGAACCGTTGGTGGACATCTAACTTCAATCCACACCTCAACAGAAAACTCTTTTGTTGGCGGTAAGCATCACTTTTATCAAGTTGGCCAATAAGTTACATCCGTGACTATCAACCGCAATAGGTCATACACTTCACGATCATGAATAGGTTTCAAATTACCTTTCGATAGATTGAAGCAAGCTCTACAAGATGGCGTTCTTGCTATTGCACCAGCTCAAACCCCACCTCAAATTTGCCGTCAGAAACAAAAAAAATTCAAGCGCCCGAAAAATAGAGAAGAAATCGTAATTACCTCCAAGAAATTCCTAGAAGGATCCTAACCAGAGTGCGATGGGGGGAGCCGGGCCCACCAAAAGTGAAGGTGGTCCCAGCTACCACTGGCCGGCCAAAAGTGAAGGTGGTAGTGCCGGACACTCACCCCAAAAACGTCGACCGGGGGGGTGGAGCAAAGCATTAACGTCTATCCTTCCAGGTCGTTGCCGCCAGTGCGCGGAAAATAAGCAAAACAAATGCAAAAGGGATCATTGAAAGCATATTTTTTGTATACAGCGTCATATATCAAACAGTGTATTTAGAAGTAAAACCCAGCTGAACTGTACGTATATTATTAATTAGATTTTGTTATAATGTACAGCGAAGAAAGTAGATCGATCCAGGCAGTGACGGCCGAGAACCAGAATTTAGAATGATAAAATAATGAAAAATCGTGAAAAATCATTCCACTGTTACAAATCTGCTGGCTGAAGACATCCGCAGTCTCGACTTCATAGGTTTTGAAGGGTAAGTGTTGCTCTACCAGACGGTTAAGGAATCAGTTTGATTTGAGGAGTGGCCGCCGAGAACGAAAATTTTGAAAAACCTTAAAAATCTTCTCAATTTTAAGTTGCTTAATGACAACTGACATTTAAACTCTTATAAATCCGGACTTTGAAGGTGTGATGTTGCGATTTCATGGGTTTTGTAGGGTGAGGCTTGCCCTATCAGAAGAATATGTCTTAGCTGTACCGATCCATTAAAACATCGCCGAGATACAGGCTCTCAAAAAAGCAGGTAAAAAACCGTTTTTCAGCTCATAACTTCTTCAGAACTGCATGAATCATGTTGCGACTTCATAGGTTGGATTCTCCTCATTAAGAGCTTTCAAATGATATATAATATGTGGGGATTTACGCCTCCCACGGCATATCCCCGGGGGTGGAGTACCTCTCTTCACTAATTCTCCACTGGCGGCCTCCCACCAATACATGGAAATGGGCGGGGTGGAGAATTAGTGAAGAGGAGTACTCCACCCCGGGTTAGAGCCGCAAGGAACATTGAATCCCCCACATATTATACATCATCTGAAAGCTCTTGAAGAGGAGAATCTAACCTATGAAGTCGCAACATGATTCATGCAGTTCTGAAAAAGTTATGAGCTGAAAAACGGTTTTTTACCTGCTTTTTTGAGAGCCTGTATCTCGGCGATGTTTTAATGGATCGGTACAGCTAAGACATATTCTGATAGGGCAAGCCTCACCCTACAAAATCTATGAAATCGCAACATTACACCTTCAAAGTCCGGATTTATAAGAGTTTAAATGTCAGTTGTCATTAAGCGACCTAAAATTGAGAAGATTTTTAAGGTTTTTCAAAATTCTCGTTCTCGGCGGCCACTCCTCAAATCAAACTGATTCCTTAACTGTCTGGTAGAGCAACACTTACCCTTCAAAACCAATGAAGTCGCAACTGCGGATGTCTTCAGCCAGCAGATTTGCAACAGTGGAATGATTTTTCACGATTTTTCATTATTTTATCATTCGAAATTCTGGTTCTCGGCGGTTACTGCCTGGATCGACCTACTACATAGATATATGCTCTTAATACTTTCTTTTACATTCCCTTTGCTTATCTTTTTTCTTTTGAGCTTTAGCAAAAAAAATTTTTAAACCCAAAAGTGAAGGTGGTCACCCTGAACTAGCTCAAAAGTGAAGGTAGGCGGAGAATCGGCTCCAACTATCGCACCTCTGATCCTAACTTGTTCCAGCATACACTTTTCACACGATGTTTATATATCATATCCATCCCTATTTTTGTACAACCTTCTCTATACCCACTTCCACATGCCAATTCCCCATTCCCGCTGCGTTATCAGCATGCTCGATTACCCCCTGTGCCAACTCCCAGCCCCGCAGATCAAACTTTGCAAAAAAATTCAATAAAATCGATAAAAGTAATGGATTATTCTAAAAACTAATATCATATTCATAATCAGCATGCTCGATTACCCCCCCCCCCGTGCCAACTTACAACTCCGCAGGTCAAATTTTACAAAAATTGATATCGATAAAAGATATCGATCGATATCGAGAAGGGGTGGAGGACATTAGGTCGCCGAATTTGGAAGAGTCCCGCGCGGATTCCCTGCAGGAACGCATGTCCGCACATGTACAAGGGTACGTATTTGTCGCAAATGACCGCGGGGACCGCCCTTTTTCGGCGACCTAATGTCCCCCACCCATCGAGAAGTAGCCTACGACACCCGCCCCGCCCCGAAGTGTATGTGTGCCACGTTTGGTCCGGAGCGGTTGAGAAATGGAATTTTATTTAAAACATACGTACACAATTGGATTTTTCATCGATTTTGTTGATTTTTTGGAAGCGAGCTACGGGGCTGGGAATTGGCACAGGGGGGGGGGGTAAGTCAGTATGTTGAGAACTAAGTAACTATTACAGCGGGAATGGGGATTTGGAATGTAGAGGGACATAGGGGAAGGCTGTACAGGGATAGAGGAGACCTTTATCATAGTGTTTTGAAATGGCCGGGCGGAGTCGGGTAAGTCAGCTAGTATCAAATAAAGCAACACTCAATCAGGCCTCTCATGTAATCCATATTTTTCAAAAACTAAAGTTTTTAGGGCTAGAAAGTTTACGACTTCTAAAGCCTTGTGGTATACAACTACTTAATGAGAAGCACAGCGTCACTTCTGCAAAGCATAAAAATTTTTGTTTTCTTGGATTTTAGCCAAAGAAAAATACAGAAGCACAGCGTCACTTCTGCAAAGCATAAAAATTTTTGTTTTCTTGGATTTTAGCCAAAGAAAAAATACAGAGTGATATATATGTATGTATTAGACGTGGAAAGTATATGCTTAAGCAAGTTAGTATTTTGCTAGGATTTTGGAGAGTCACGGTATCTTCTCGATTTCAATGCTGACATCAAACTGTGGATTCAAGCTGATGCAACAGCGAAAACTTGTAGATGCTCGCCTTACTCTATCAAATATTACTTTGAAGCCTATTTACAATAGGAAGTATATGACTTATTGCGGTTGAAAGTCAAAACAGACTGAACATATGGGAAAACCTGATGTAAAGGTGTGCTAAACTTTATGATTTAGAACTGGCAAAATCGGGTATAGCACCTGAAAAATGTTGTGAACTTGCAACTTGGATAGGTCTGACACGGCCTGATATTCCAAACAGTAACTGGACCTGGACTGATGGCACGGAGGTGGACTTTCTGGCTTGGGCACCAAAACAACCGGATGATTTTAGAGGAGTAGAACGCTGCACCGTGGTATGACATTTGAAACAAAAAAAGGACTTTTGCTACTGAACACATGCACACAAATTAATTGCGCACCTTGAAGGCAGTGTCTCAGCAAAATTTGATCGTCGAGATTCTTGCATATTGCAAGCCTTTTCGTCCTTATTTAACTCAATGTGGGTCCAAAATCGCATAAAATGCACTAAACCCGGCTTTTTGAAAGCCCCGTGGAAGTAACGCGGACGAGTTGTGCCTCACCCTAGCCTTTGCCAGGTAGCCAACACCACGGAAATGGACGCCAAGTGGAGAGGCATGTTAAAACGCGTAAGATGGAAATCGGAAGCTTGGCGGTGCGGGTCAAATCGCTCTTTGCGGGCCACTTTGAGGACAAATTTCTCGGCGTAGAAGGGCGCGGATCGAGACGAACTCGGTTCGGTCGCCTGAGGGGTCCTCTAACGAAATATGTGAAAGCCCGCACTACCCCAAGTTTTGTGAGATACGCATCCAAATTCCGTCTGTGTTTGGTGTTTACATGCTGACTGAAGTACATCCTAGACTGAACTCGAAACAAAGTTGTTTATTTGGTTAACGCATGCTTGTCCAAGTTTTCCAAGAATTTTTCTTTTTCTAATGCTATGCGCCTGAAGTGACTCTTTTTGGAAGCGTCCAGATAATCGAAGATTTCTTAACTCGTTACCTTGTTTAGCTGGAATTCCAATTTTCAGCATTTTCCCTTAAATCTTTGGAAGGAGCTTCGTTAACCGAGAAATAAAGCAAACATTTTTCTATTCTTTACAACGCCTTCAAAATACTCAACACATTTTTCAAGGAGTTTTTGAAAATTGCTCAACTTTAAATTTATTGAATACTTGGGAAACTCAAAAGTCAAAAAAACATGATTGGTATTGAATTAAATTGTGTGTGATTCCTGGTACCAATTATGTGCAAGTGAATTTGCAAAAGTGAATTATCTGCAAAACTTACATGCATCGCGATGAAAAGTATTTGCTGCATGCATAGCAGTGAAGAAGTAATTATAAGAAAGAGGAGAGAAACGTGTTCGAATGATACTTGTAGTACAATTTCTGGATAGATTAAACATGATATGGCCACTCCAGGAAATGATTTTGAGACATTCTAAAAGGTCAGCTAAAAGATGCAGAAAAGGCTTTACTGCAAAATGTTTGCTCTACTTACTGGTCATTGAATCCTACAAGAGTTTGGAGAAGAAGTCTAGAAATTAGCAGAGGTTATAGGATGAAAACGATGAGATGGAAACAATGTTGATTATCTAGGAGCATTTCATAAAGATTCACTCCGAAAGCATAGATCAGATAGAGAATGAAGTTCAACAAAATGGTAATAGGTCGAAACAGGGCCCGGCGGGGGTGGCGCTTTCACAAGCTGGATATCGTTTTTGGCCCGAAAAACCAAAGGGAAAGTCGTATTTTGGGGTCCGGGGCGGAGCCCCGGACCCCAAAATACGACTTCCCCTTTGTTTACCGATAAACAATGCACAAATCATTCTTTATTCGTCATTCCTTGTTGATGCTACTGTCCTATGAACTTAGATTCCAGCAATGTGAAGATTCTGTGCTCCGATCGCTAGCCTGCCCGCAGGCGGGAATTCAAATCGCAATTCTTGTAAGAGGAAAATAACAAAATAGGCTCGTTTTCAATGCACAGGTAACGATATGGCACCAAATTTGATGTATAGTTGGAGGACCATGAGCACAAAAAATTATGAATAATTATGAGAAACTTATGTAAATTTAAAAAATGGTAATTAGGTGGCTCCCGCGCCACCTGGGAGCAACCTGGGGTGGCTCCCTGCTTCCCTTCACATAATTTCCCGGATTTCTTTACATAAATGTGGACTAGGTCGAGAGTATTACTATATGTTCAAATCCGTTTCCAAAACCACCAAGGCACCGCTTCGATACAGCCCAAATAGGGTTTACAGCGTTATGATCAGCCTCGGAAAGCGCGCTCCAATCGCAATGGTTATTGTAAATTGTAAAGTTTCGCAGCTGACTAATAAATGAGTAGTATCTTAGATATATAAACGTTCTTGACCCTATGTTTTTTTATAGATTCCTTTGCGGATGAACCCATTGAGCTGAAACCTTGAAAACATATGTTTTCGGCCTCGGTAGATGGTTTTAAGCTACCCTTCGAAGCAATTTGTGGAATCCTTCTATCGATTCAATGATTTTTGGCACATTGCAAGGAAAGTGAACACTACCAGCCGCTAACAAACTGCTTGCACATTTTGGTGTGAACAATGCAGTGAAGTTCATTTCCACTTTGAAATTAAAGGTGCAGTCACTCCAATAAGCCTTTCTGGGGTAAGCTCGTGCAGGAGGGTAAGGCCTGGACAGACTTCACGCGTGTTAATCGTCGCGATCTAATCGCCAAGATTATCATTCATTTTCATTTCGCATTCAGAAATTTCGGGCCGGAAAAGTGTCACAACCGAATGCAAGTTGATCGGCATGGAATGATGTTGTAACAGTTGTCTCGTCGCGATTCAGTCGCGACGATCAAATCGCGTGAAGTCTGCCCGGGCCTAAGGGGGAGGGCTGCAGTGCAGTATTGATCCTACAGAAAAGGGGTGGAGAATATGGCCCAAAAGGACGGGAAGGTAGAAAGAAAGTGTGGTTTTTGGCCATCCCCTCAAACGATGACCCGGGCTGAACCAGGAAAGCCAGGTAGTACTACTATAATAAGCGCTGAGGCCGCCCATCTTATTATTTGTATATATCTGTTTGTCAGGGACTTGCGGGGGTCAAAAATAGGATCAAAGGGGAAGTCGTAAGAAATTTTGGCTTCAAAGAAGATATCGTTTTCAAAATTCTGAAATGCCACCTCCTGCCGGGCCCTGTCGAAAGAGTAATGAGGATTTCTTCCGCTTCAGCAGCACTGTGAATGTAAAGATTCGTTGGCTTACTAACAAGCACAAAGTAAACCTACAAAGCACAGTGCTTTGCAAAGCGGCATACGGGGCAGGCTGGCTATCGTTTTAAAGAAACAGCAAAGGATCGCTTTCAAAAGTCAGATGGAGCATCAGCTTGCTAAGTCATCGAGAATTACGCTAAAATTGAGTTATACGAGACTGCTTATGTAAAAAAAATTCAGAAGGCTGATCAACTCTAAGCCCATCAATCCTACAAACTTTCGCCCTCGCTTTCCAGATAAAACTTATCCAGTTGTTGTTATCACCAGGGTCCAACGTTTTAATGCCATCCGGAACCCTTTCTTACAACCCCTTTCTTTCCACCCCCCCCCCTTGAAGGTACCTATCTGTACTCCCTTTTCTCCTTCCCTCCATTTCCGCGCTCTAAAATTAGCTTGCGTAAATGGATGTTAATTTATCTTGAAAGATGCCTATGGTTGGAATTAGAAAATGTAAGTTAGAAAAAGAGAATTCTGTTCACGAGTTGGGAGCTAAGCAAGTAATACTTGCTAAAAATCTCCGAGATAGATCGGCGTAGACTGAATGAGCAGGAAAATTGTACAAAGACCTGGCTGTACTGTAGTTGCGAAGTAATGGATAGTCTTGACGAAGGAGAACGTTAGTTTTGGTCTGATACCGATATTCAAACTGGCCTGCCCAAACCTGAAACAACTTATACACAAGAAATGAGATAGAATAACAACTAAAAGAATTCCGAAATAGAAAGCAATTCATTCCAGCGGTTATAACAGGTTTACATAATATATTAGGTCGTTCCGAAAATAATGTCGCTTTCTTCGAATGAACGCCACTATTCGTGGAATCAACTTTTTCAAGAGTTCTTAGGAGCATTCGATGCAGCATTTCATCGTCTTTCTAATGGTTCTAATTTCACTGCATAATGTTTAGTGAGCTCTCGAACAATTACCAGAATCTGTGACTCATGCTTTTTGCCATGGTCAAGTTCGGCTATTTTTCTAAATTTTTGTACCTAGTCTCCAAAAAAGTACAAGTGGCAGGTAGATAGAGCAAACACTATAGAACACAGAGTAATTTTTTCTTTTCCTTGGTGTGCTTCTCAGAGTTTCTACATTCAATTTCTCAATGTCATCAAATTTCATATTTAGTCAAGTAAAACCTCACAGACATACCCTCGATACATAGAGCCACGTACTCCGGTAACCTTCACTTTGAGGGCTATGAGGGGACACAACCTTCACCTGGAAAAAATAGAAGTCATCCGGGGCTTCGCCCCGGATGTTATTATCCTGATTATATTGGAACGAATGTCAATGAAGCAAATATAGGAGATATAAAAACTTTAGCTTATCTCAGCGAAACCGAGAATTTGCGTTTTCATAGCCTTTTTTTACCTTAAAAAAGGTTTTTCTGTGGGATTTTCGCCAGAATTCAGAAAAAAATTTCTTAGTTAACCTCACATTCGAACAAAATCGAGTTTCAGAGGTTTAGGAAAGCTATTGGACTTAAATAAGAACGAGAAACTGCGCTTAAATCTTGCGCAGAGAGTCGCGCACGAAAATGCTGGTCTATCTCGTTAATGTGGGATTTTTGAAGCTTGGGACGTTGTCAGTTCTCCTCGTCGTGTCATGATGATCACAATCTTATATATAAAGCTGAATGTCTGTTTGTATGTCTGTCTGTATGTCTGTATGTATGTACGTATGTTCCGAATAGAAAATTCCATTTCTGAACCGATCGGGACCAAACTTGGCACACGTACACTTCGGGCCCCGGCGGGTGTCATAGGCTACTTTTCGTATCGATCGATATCGATTTTATCGATTTTTTGCAAAATTTGAGCTACGGGGCTGGGAGTTGGAACAGGGAGGTAAGTGAGCTTGGGGATTTTGGCAGTTTGAGCTACGGGGCTGGGATTTGGCACAGGGGGGTAATCGAGCATGCTGATCACCCCCCCCCCCGTGGGAGTGATCAGCATGCTCGATTACCCCCCCCCTGTGCCAAATCCCAGCCCCGTAGCTCAAACTTTGCAAAAAATCGATAAAATCGATAAAAGTAATGCACGGTTTCGAAAACTAATAGTGTATTCGTAATC